GGGGGAGGGAGTGAGAGTGAGAGTGAGTGTGTGTGTAGACGGGAGGGCCACTGGAGCAGGGTGGCAGAAGTGGCAGGCATGGCTTAACGCCTAGCCTAGGGTGGAACAAAGGCAGATAGAGCCCCTCTGGGGCGTCCACCAGGAGGCTGGTGCTCAGGGCAACCACAGGAAGACAGAGGTCTGGTGTGGAACTATGGGTGGGAAGAGTCTTCCCTGGGTCGCAGAGGGTTCCTCCCAGGGTGCCCTGCAGTGCCCCAGCCTCCCTCCCCACCTGCTCCCAACACCCACCCCTGCAGCATCTCCTCCGGGCTGACCACACGCGAGGGCTTCTGGGAGGCCTCCACCTGCAGCACGTGCTCTATGGCTCTCCGCTTGTAGGTCAGCAAGTTCTCCATCTCCTAGGGGTTGCCATTGGCTGGGTAGGCAGGGCTCCAGGCTAGAGACTAGGGGTCCCCTCCCTGGCCCAGCTCACTGGGCCCCTGCTAGTGATACCCAGTGAGTCCTCTGACAGCCATGGCCAGTTCAACCCTGCCTGCAGGGACATTGCAGGGACCAGGTTGGATGATGGAGAAGGAAGGACATCTCTGTTAGGTGCATTGTAAAGACGTATCAGAGGATCAGTCATGACCACCAAGGGTGGGCGACTTCACTTGGTTCAACTAATGCCACCATGCCAGCTGGTGGGAGGACTGGTGAGGGGGTGTGGAGCTAGGCCCTCCCACTCCCACCTGAGAATAGGGGACAGGGAGACCCAAGCGCTCACCCAGCCCCAGGAGGGGGCCCTGGGTGCTGTCTGTCCCATCAATGGGGAAATACAGGAAGAAAGCAGGTCAGTCCTGGCTATCCGCGAGTTGGGTCCTCACTATAGGACGGGTTCATGCAAAGGGCTCTTACTGAGCACCTACTACTAAGCATGACCCTGGGACATGGCGATAAAAAGATCCGTTCTTGCCCTTACAGAACTGTGGTCATTTTACAGATAAGAAAACTGAAACTGATGAAATAGATGTGTCACCACCAAGAGCTGAGCCTTCCGAAAGAGAACAGCAGACCACCAGGGCGGGCAGGGATCTCCAAGAGCACTGAGTGCAACTTCTCATTTTATAAGTGAGGACACTGAGGCTCAGAAAGGCCAAGTGACTTGCCTTGGGCTACCCAGAACACAAACGACAGAGCCAGGTCTCAGATAAAGGGGACAGCACTGGCTGCTATTGGTGGTGGTAGCTGGAGGGGTCAGTACTTTTCCGGTCAGTCCACACTCGAGCGTGCTCTGTGTGGTTGTGCAAGTGTGCATGGCACAAAGTGATCTGGCTGAGCGTGAGTGTCGTGGGCTCACCGCACTTCCTCAACCCGCAGTTCCTCTCCTCTTCCACCCTGCCCCCCACGATCCACCTGCCTTCTGAGGCTCCCAGGACACACACAGGGTTCCACGGGCCCTCCCCTGACCACTCCTGGGTACAAGCATGGAATGCTCCCCTCTGTGAAGGCTCCCCGACCCGGTCCACCCCGCCACCTCCTCCAGCCTCCCTGATCTACCAAAGGAGACAGGGCTGAGGGCACCAGCCGGGCCTGGGGCTTCCCATGGCAGCAGGCAGGAAGCCCCCTCCTTACATTAATGTCCATGGCAAACGGCGACGTGTCCAACAAGATAAGTTCATCCACCATCTCGGGGAAGGTGCAGGAAAACTAGATGAACAGAAAGGGGAGGGTGAGCCCAGCGAGGACGCAGCTCTCCCCTGCGCTTCCTGAAAAGGCTTTGGTTGGGCGAAGGGGCCCCCAAGAGGTCAGAGTGAGAACCCTCTGTATGGACCCCCCAAGTCTGCACCCGCACCCAGCTCCAGACCCTGGTGACAGCTGGACTCCAGGGTCCCCTTGATGGGCGGGAATGTGGAAGCTCTGAACTCTACCAGGAGTCTCCACTTCCTGACACCAGCTTCCTCACCAGGGCGACTGCTACCGTGATGTGCTGCCGGCTGACGAGAGGCCCCTACTGAACTGAGGAGGCCCTTCCTGTCCGGGGAACTTCCTCCTCCTGCTTCCCCCACTCCCACCACTTCAGGTGGCCAGAGCAAAGCCATCTACTCACCATGCCGCCTACAATGCCTCCTGGGGACAAAAAGAGGACAAAGGAGCGGTCAGCAGACATACCCTTGCTCCAGCCAGGGCTTTGTTTCTCAAACTCAGGCCCCCTCCCCTGGCTCATCAGGCCCCTTCCAGACATGTCCACTCATGGGGCCACCTCTCCCTCATCAGGTCAGAGAAGAGCCACCTTTGAGCCACATGTCTGAGGTCAGAGGGCACAGAGGCCAAAGGTCAATGTCCAATGTCTGTGTCTCTGCAGTTCTCAGAGGTGCAGAGAAAGGAAGCAGGTGCCAACTCCTGGGTTCCCACAGCCCCTGCAAGAGGCCAGTCAGTCGCTGGCCAAAGGGTACTCACCAAAACTGTGGCCCATGAGAGAGAAACGGCTCCATTTCAAGGCTGAAAATACATAAAGCAGGAGGTCTGGATGGCGCCCCCACGGGCCTCTTTCCTGCTGTCCCCCAGGAGACCAGTTTAGGGGGGCACTGGAGGAAGCGAGCTCTTCCTGGAGAAGAGCTTTCTCCCCAGTTCCACCCAAGAATTGCTGGTGGAACTGGGGCCAGACCAGAGCCACACCCAGCTGCAAGCACAGAGGGCGCATCCCAGGGCACCCCCACACCCCGGCCTCCTGCTCACCTGCCACGACTCGCCGGACCTCATTCACAAAGTTTTGGTGGTAATACGGGACACCTGGGCCGTAATGGGATGAGAGCCCATGACCTCCAAAATCCATGGCAACGTAATAGAAGTCTGGGCCAGAGATAAGGGGAGGAGAAAGGTCCCCATCAGCCGCCTCTCACTGCGGGTGGCCCCTCAGCTTCCCTTCACCCCCACCCTACCTTGTGGGAGGAGAGGGATGAGTCTGTCGAAGGAGTTGGCATTGTCCAGCCAGCCATGCAGGCACAGAACTGGGGGGCCCCGCAGGGAGCCCCAGGCTTTGGCAGCAATGTGGCCCCAGGGCATTGTCAGCTTCAGCTCTGAGAGCAGACCTGAAGGACCGCGACATTCATTTGTTCACTAGTTTGTTCATGAAGCCAGCCCTTCCCAGGCCCTCATCTAGGCCCAGTGTTCCCAGGACATGAGCACCACTGACCCCTGCCCTGGCCCCTGCTGGACCCCTGCCAGACGTGGGTGTGCAGATACCCAGAGGAGGGAGAGAAAGCCTTGGCAGGCTTGATAGAACGCACCCATTTGTACTGGGGCAGAACTGGAGAGTGGGCTGGGGTTTGGGTGGCCTGGACCCACCACTAATTAGCTGTGTGACCCTGGGCAAGTTCCTGAAATGTCTCTGCATCCCAATTTCCTTTTCTGTAAAAATAGAGTAAAGTCTGGGCATGGTGGCACATGCCTATAATCCTGAGGACTCCAGAGGCTGAGGCAGGAGGATCAAAAGTTCAAGGCCAGCCTTGGCAATTCGCTGCCTTAAAAATAAAAAGAGCTAGGGATACCAGGCATGGTGGAGCACACCTGTAATCCCAGTGGCTCGGGAGGATGAGGCAGGAGGGTTGCAAGTTCAAAGCCAGGTCAGCAATTTAGTGAGGCCCTAAGAAACTCAATGAGGGCTGGGGTTGTGGCTCAGTGGTAGAGCATTTGTCTTGCACATGTGAGACATTGGGTTCGATCCTCAGCACCACATAAAAATAAATAAAGCCGGGGCTGGGGATGTGGCTCAAGTGGTAGTGCGTTCTCCTGGCATGCCTGGGGCACTGGGTTCAATCCTCAGCACAAAAGAAAAAGAAAGAAAGAAAAGGAAGGAAGGAAGGAAGGGAGGGAGGGAGGGAAAGAAAGATAGTTAGTTATAAGCCTGGGGATGTGGCTCCCGGGATTCAATCCCCAATAACAAAAAACAAAAACAAGAGCTAGATATGTAGCTCAATGGTAGAGTACTCTTGAGTTCAATCCCCAGGACTCCCCAAAAAAGAGAGAAAAAGATTAATAATAAAATAAAACAGTTATAACAATAAACTGTATTAAAAGTTATGTGGAGCAGGTAAGATATCACACACGTAACCCCAAGCTACTTAGGAGGCGGAGGACGACGATCCTAAGTTTGAGGACAGCCTGGGCAACTTAGTGAAAATAAAATAAAATAAATAACGCCAGTACAACAGGTGGGGGGCACTGGTGGATGCAGCTGGGTGGTAAAGCATCACCAGCAAGAGCCAATGAGTTTCAATCCCAGGGCAGCAAACAAAAGTTATGAGGCTGATCTCTCTCTCTTTCTCTTTCTCTCAAAATACCTTAGGAGAGACAAAAGGTGAAGGTGAGTCCTGTTCAGGCAGCTGGAGATTTTATCTCGTTACTCACAATAGTGGGCAATTTCAAACTGGAGTTGCTATTGGATATTTTTGGACCTCGGATAACTGGAGGCTTGGAAATGAAAACTGTGGACAGACGGGGTTCAGCCTTCACTGAGGGCCACGTGGGTGCTGGGCACCTGACACAGCGAACTCCCCACTCCCCACAACATCGCTTCACACAGCAGGAGGTCTACTTCATGCCCAAGGTCATTCAGGGGAACGCGATGCACAGCGGGTCTGGACCCGGGCGCTACCGCCCAGCACGGCGCTGCCTCGGGCCTACCCTGCTCAGGTCTGGCCCGGCGCTGACATTTTCCCCCGCGGGCTCGCCCTGCCGGGCTGGAGACCTCTGCGCCCCCAGATACCCGCGCTTCTCTCCTCCCGAGACCCTGGGCGGCCACGCGCGGCGGCGTGGGCGCCCACCCTCCAGCTGGTCTGGCTCGGCTAGCTCCCGGGACAGCAGATGAAGAAGCTTCGACACTCAGGAGTGCGGGGGCGGTCACTGTCCCTGCTCACGGGCCCGAGAAGATGGGTGGGCACTGGGTGCTCGCGCGTGGCCTCCCCCGCCCGGGTCTAGTCTAAGGGGCCCTGGCCCAGCGTTTTCACCCATCGCTCCGCTCCCGCGGCGCGCGGCAGTCTCTCTAGCCTGGCGAGGTCGCGGCCACAAGGAGGAGAGCTGTCGCCGGGAGCTCAGGTCCCGCCCACAGCCCCGCCCCTAGGCCCCGCCCCGGCGCAGGCCCCGCCCCAGGTGCCGGCCCCGCCTCCCCTCCGCTCTCCCTGCGCCTGGCTGAGGCTTATCTGCAGAGCCCGGGAGCCCTGTGTGGTCTGCCCTGGAGGCCGAGCTGCGGAGCCCTGGGAGGTGGCTCACAGCCTCCAAAGTCCCCCGCTGCACCCGGGCGGCGTCGGAGGGAGCGGATCATGCTCTGCTGGGCGCGCGGGTGGCGGGACCCTGGCCCTAGCGCAGTACCCGGAGCTGCCCAGCGGGCACCCACAGCGAGCAGGGGCGGGAGCTCGCTTTATTTATTTATTTATTGAGACAGGGTCACACTAAGTTGTCCAGGCTGATCTCGAACTTGCGATCTTCCTGCGTCCAGCGTCGCTGGGTTTACAGGAATACGCCACCAACGCTCGTCTGTGCGATGACCGTTTAATGCCTACCTCGAAGGCTGGCTTGCGTCCACGTGTTCCACCGTGTCCTGAGGTCCTCAACAGAGCCTGGCGCAAACCAGCCTAATATTTGTTGTACAGACAGAGGACTAAATGTGTAAAGTGGGAACGTGAAGGACCCCGCCCCCCAGGTGGGGAAAGTTTCTAACCAATATCATCTAGTGTGCAAAAGGTCAAGAGCCCCACGTCAGGAAGACCCTGTTTGGGGTGAGGAGATTTCATTATAGGAGGGCCTACGATGATGGAAGAAAAATGCTCCCTTTGAATCTTTAAAGTGGGAAGTCTAGGACAAATTAAGGCAAATACTTCCCGCTCATTCACTGCGCTGGCTAGTTGGAACCCTGGAGAGGACGGGATATGGTCTCCAGGCTCACAGTCCCCCCGGGGCCCATAACTGATGAACCACAGAGGGCAGGAGAAAGACCTGTGTGGTGACTTGTCCCTAGGATGATAGGGAGCCCAGACCTGAAGACTGAAAAGACCATGGTCTGCAGAAGGTAAGGGGGTTCCCAGCCACACAGTGCAGGGAAAGTTGTCAGTGGCTAGAAAATGTGGGCCCCAGGGGGCCAGGGGCTGAGAGTGGGGTGGCAGCAGGTTGTGATGGGACTGTGCATGCTGGGGTCCAGGAGACTAGGCGCTGGGGGCAGGCAGTGAGACCATTTCTATGAGGGGTGCACACATGGGGATGTCATTAGCCCAGAAAAGCTTTGACCTCCTGTGACAAGGATCCTGAAGGAGTTATGCAGGGGTCATAGATTGTGGGTGACAGGCATTGCAGACATGACCCCTGTGAAGCAGGGTGATCTGCTTCCTCTTCTGCCCAGAGGACCCTCTGCCACTTCCTCTTCATGGATGATGCCTCATTAGCACCAGGCTCAGTGTGACCTCTGGGGAGGGATCTCCTGCACCTTCAACCTCAAAATCCCTTGGTCCAACAGGCCCCTTCAATAGATTGGCATCAGCTCCCCACTTTCTGTCCCTCTGTCTTGTGGTCTCTGTCACCCCACCTCCACCCCATCCTCGTATCCCAGCCACTGTCCATCTCTGTCTCTGCTCTGCCTGCCTCATCCTCTTCCATTCCTGTGATCTTTCGTTCTTACCCCTGGTTAACATCCCTCAGTAAGAGAGTCCTCAGGCACCGAGGGATGGGAGGGGTGAACAGGAGCTCACATTCCCAGCTGCCAGTGACAGATGGGTCCCCAGGAGTGCCCTCCTGCATCAGCTGAGGACGCCTGTGCAATAACAAGGTCCCTGAAGTGCTCGACGCACGGGGGTCTGGACTGGATCCTGGAACAGAATAGGAAAGTAGGTGGAGAGGCTGGGAGAATCCAAATACAGCCTGGAGCTAGCTGACGTGAAGGACCAGTGTTTATTCTAGCCTTGTACCATGCAGCGCCAGACTGCCGTGGCTGAAATGGGATGAAGGGCAGGGAGGAAACTGGGCACTATGGTTGCAGTTTTTCTGTAAATCTAAACTTACACCATCACTTAAGAGTCTACTTTTGTAAATAACCCAGATGAGGACATTTGGTTTCACTGATTCAAATTCAATTATGTACACGAGGGGCTTGCACTTAGGTCATACCGCAAAATGTAGTCATTAACAAGCATTTTTTTTTTTTTTTTTTTTTTGCGGTACTGGAGATAGAACCCACAGTTGCTGTACCAGAGAGCTATAATCCCCAGCCCTTTTTAAAAATTTTCTTGTAGATAAGGTCTCGCTAAGTTGCTGGGGCTGGCTTCTAATTTGCAATCCTCCTGCCTCAGCTTCCCAAATTGCTGGGATTACAGGTGTGCACCCCTATATCCGCCTCAGCCTCTGGAATTGAGGGGACACTTTCAAACCATTGCAAATGGTTTGAGATTTCTCAGTATTCTTCAGTTTTTAAAATGCATATGCAGGTTAATCTGGCCTCCAAAGCAGGTTAGCTTACACACTGTTCTCCACCTTAGCAAGGGTCCTCTAGCCATCCCCATAATTGTCAAGAAGGACCCCAAAGCTTCTTCCTGCTTCTTTATATTTACCTGTCCCTCTACTGAGGGAAAGGGGGGTCTTTCCCATTGTTTGCTCTATAAACAGTGCTGCAAGGAAGGACATGCTCAGCAGTGACCTCGAGATGCAGTCCCAAAGGCTCACAGACAGAGCATCGTCGTTGTGCCACATGTTCCCCAGCACCAGACTGTCCCACTTTGTATCCCACCTGAGCTGGACAGACCCACCTTGGCCTTGATGGATGAGGAGAGGGTCCAATTTTTGAATTTGTGTCAGTTAGTAGGATACCATATCTCAGGGTTCTTATAATCAGAAGTTTTCTTTTTATAAATTAACTTAGTCATATTTTTACATATTTAAGGGTCATTTGTATTTTTACATGTTCCTGCTCCATGGTTTTTCACTTTCTTCCCTTATTTCTTAGAATTCTTTCTGTCTTTCTTTCTTTTTTTTTTTTTTCTTTTGTGGTGCTGGGGCCCAGGCCCTCGAGCATGCGAGCATGCGGGCAAGCTGGGAGCTGACCCCAGCCCATTGTTATTTAGAACTCTTAAGTAATAGAGAGATGCATTCTTTCTCTGTGACATGAATCACATATCTTGTGATTTTATTTTTTTAGAGAGAGAGAGAATTTTTTTTAAAAGTTTTTCTTTTTTTTAGAGAGAAAGAGAGAGAGAGAGAAGATAATTTTTTTTAATATTTATTTTTTAGTTCTCGGCGGACACAACATCTTTGTTTGTATGTGGTGCTGAGGATCGAACCTGGGCCGCACGCATGCCAGGCGAGCGTGCTACCGCTTGAGCCACATCCCCAGCCCCCAGATAGGGTGATTTTAAAACAGCCACAGAAGAGCCTGTGTCTGGCATTTGGGGAGGATGGTTATGTAACAAGAGATTTCTGGAATAGCAGCCCGGAAGGGTCTTTGTTAATTGAGTTAATGAATGGTCATTAACACTGTTTCCTGAACTTAGAAGAGGTCTAAAGTGGTTCTTCGTCCATGCTGTTAACCTGGGTAGACCTGCAATTATAGTGATCTTATGGAGCCGAGGAGTCTGAATTTCCCTCCATAAGTAAAAGCTAAGTTAATATATATAAAGGATTTCTAGGTAAGTGTGAGGATGTTGTATGCTGAATGCACTTGTGTTTGCCAGGTATATGAGCATTCTAAAACGCAGAACTTAGGAACTAACACTCTACCAAGACGATGTCTTCCAAACTAAAATTGTTAGTAAGGAGAGCTTTTCTCAAGCGTTAATCTCAATGAAAGGTTAATAAAATAGGTACTTGTCCCTCCGTTTTTCTATATGCTTAACAAAACACTGTTGAAATCTTAAGAACTGTTTGCTAATCTTGTTCCTAGGATGTGCCCTTCCCAACTGAGAACTGTTTGCTAATCTTGTTCCCAGAATGTGCTGTCCCCAATTGCAAAACTGCAGAATGTATTCCCTCACCGGGTTGCAGGAAAACTGCCCACTCGCCCTGACTCGTCAATGAACTTCCCTCCCTGCCCTCTCCAAGGAAAGCATATAAGCTCTGCTTAAGCTGTTCTCAGGGCTCTCTGCTCTATTCAAGTGAGCTCTGAGCCCCAGCATGCTGGACCCCAATGAACCCTTGGCTGTTGCATGAGGCAGTCTCTTGGTGGTCTCTTCCTCCGGCGTTTCGCCGGTCCCTTACACTTGTGTTTGCCAGGTATATGAGCATTCTGAAACGCAGAGCTTAGGAACTAACACTCTACCAAGACGATGTCTTCCAAACTAAAATTGTTAGTAAGGAGAGCTTTTCTCAAGCGTTAATCTTTGTACTCCTAATTGTATTACGACTGTCGTCTTTCAACAAAACTGTTTAGATGTGCCCAAACACTTGATGTGCCCCAAACTATTTTGATGTGCCTAAACCACGCTACTCTGGCAGTTAAAAGACCGGGCATTGGATGGGCACAGTGTCACATGTCTGTAACCTCAGTGACTCTAGGACAGGAGGATTGCAAGTTTAAGGCCAGTCCTGGCAACTAAGTCAGACTGTATCTCAAAATAAAAAAGGACTGGGGTGTGGCTCAGTGGGAAAGCACTCTTGGCCTCAATTCCCAGAACCCCCGCCAAAACGATTGAGCATTGATCACCTAGGAAAAACATCCGCAAATAAGTACACTCTATTTTTTAAAAACATTTATTTTTTAGTTGTAGGTGAACACGATACCTTTATTTATTTGTTAATTTTGTTTTGTTTTGTTTTAGTTGTAGATGGACATGATACCTTTATTTGTTTATTTTTATGTGGTGCTGAGGATCCGACCCAGTGCCTCACGCGTGATAGGCGAGTGCTCTACCTCTGAACCACAACTCCAGCCCCACATTCTACTTTTTAAAAATTTTTTTCATTTATTTTTAGGACAAGAAAATAAGATATAAAAATAACATTTTAATTGGAATTTATTTGTGATATCTAATATTTTCACAATTATTATAGACACTGGACTTTCTTTGCTCTTAATCTTATTTTGAGAAACCATTTTCAGTGGCACACAACTGTGGTCTCAGCTGCTCCAGAGGCTGAGTCAGGAGGACCACAAGTTCAAGGCCAGCCTGATCAACTTAGCAAGATCCTGTCTCAAAAAAAAAAAAAATCAAAACGGCTAGGGAAGTAGCTCAGTGATAGAGGGCCCCTGTTTTCAATCCCCAGTACCATAAAAATAGATGAATAAATAACAACAACAACTTTGTTATCTATTTTCCTTAAAGTTAACATTTTACAGAATTATAACTTCTGATGAAACAACCTAAGCAATATTTTAATATGATAGCCATCATCTACAGGACAGATAGGCTATATTGATCCCTATTCATTAAAAAGAACTAATGGCCAGGCTCAGTGGTGCACGCCTGTAATCCCAGCATCTTCAGAGGCTAAGGCAGGAGGATCATAAGTTCAAAGCCAGCCTCAGCAAAGTGAGGCTCTAAACAACTCAGTGAGACCCTGTCTCTAAGTAAAATACAAAATAGGGCTGGGATGTGGTTCAGTGGTCGAGTGCCCCTGAGTTCAATCCCCAGTACCTCCCCCTCAAAAAAAAAAAAAAAGAAAAAGAAAAAAAAGAACCAGTGGAACTGATCTTCTGACTATTCAACATCAGAAACTTGAAAATAAAAACAAGAAATAGGATATGTCGACCAAAGATGATGGGACCCACATTGTACGTTCAGGTCGGGTCTGGATTTGGCGTTCCAGGACGTCAAGTTTGCCCCGCTTGTAATACCGCTTAGGTATGCGTGACAGGCATTCAGTTCAACTACGAAAACAAACTGAAGCCCTATCGTTTCTCACCAGTTTATGGTCTTGCTGTGGCTCTGACTGCTGGCGCACCACCTTCCTTCCTCCTGCACCTCCCTGCACCAAGAGCTAAGGTAGGTGGTGGCCCACTCACTTGGTTACTAATACACAGTGGCATCAGCTGACTGCTGACAAGTCCTTGAGCAGTGTGAAATGGGACGGACATCAAAGGACAAGCGGGTTGTCTACTACCGTCTGGCCAAGGAGAATGGCTGGCTGGCCCGCAGTGCCTACAAGCTGTTACAACTCGATGAAGAATTCCAGCTCTTCCAAGGTCCCTAACCGGTGGGCAAGTCACCCTTGGGGGAGGATTGGCACAGACACGTGCCTAATTCTGCAGAGCTCTCTGCCATGGGTGGGCTGCTTGGAGGGTCTCTGGGGCAAGCAGGAAGATGAGTCAAATACTCAGGAGGAGGTTGGCACCTGGGCAGTGGGTGTGACACGGGCAGTTGATCTATGTGCAGCCCCAGGCAGCTGGAGCCAGGGGTCTGGACAAGTTGTGGCTGTGGATCTGCAGGCTACGGCTCCACTACCAGGTGTGGTACAGATCCAGGGAGACATCGCCCAGCTTTCCACTGCCAAGGAGATCATCCAGCACTTTGAGGGCTGCCCTGCGGACCTAGTGGTGTGCGATGGGGCTCCCGACGTTACTGGCCTCCATGATGTGGATGAGTACATGCAGGCCCAGCTCCTCCTAGCCGCTCTGAACATTGCTACACATGTCTTGAAGCCAGGGGGCTGCTTTGTGGCCAAGATATTCCGAGGGCGGGATGTGACGCTGCTTTATGGCCAGCTGCGGGTCTTCTTCTCCAACGTGCTCTATGCCAAGCCCAGGGGCAGCCGGAACTCCAGCACTGAGGCCTTCGCTGTCTGTCAGGGTTATGACCCTCCTGAGGGCTTTGTACCAGACCTGGCCAGACCCCTGCTGGACCATTTGTAGGATGGAAGACAATGAAATGGATTATTTGTCTTAACACAGTAAGTTAGCTGGCAAGCTGATACAACTTAGAAGCTGTTGCCTGTCAGGAAAAACAGAACTTGAGTTGATGAACTTGTTTTCAAACATCAGCAAGACTTGAACAGACAAGCCTGGTGTGGAAATCTACAATAACCTCCACAAGGACAACAAAGACAGAACCAGTGCAGAAGTCTGCTGCAATAGAGTCGGGCTTTCTTGAACTTGCGTGAGATCTACCTCTTCTCTAAACCTGTCTCGGGGTGTCCAGAACTTCCCCCGAAAGCAGGAATTTTACCTGGATAGGTGTCAGGTGTATCCAATGTACTTGATGGAGGAAACTATTACATCTTTATTTTCAATAAAACTGAAATTTAGTTTTACTCCCAGTTATGAATGCTGCCCACAAATCACAATAGTAAAAGTGGTACCTGCAATTTTCCCATCAATGCAAGTCAGTTATTTTTTGTTTCATTACAGTTGTTACAGACATCTTAAAATATTATTCACATTCTTTACCACTTTGGATGACAACAGATCTTATAATCTGATGTTCTAATAAAAATCCAATTGTTACATCCCCCCCCCCTGCAAAAAAAAAAAAAACAAGAAATAAAAAGTATAAAGAGGGAAAATTGGTCATTTTTCTGGCCCTCACCCTCTAAGATCAGCTAGAACCCAGGGAATGACAGTTCCCTCTAGGAGAACTCTGGTGAGTCATCGACCTCTCACTCGGGGATTATGAAGACCCCAGAGACCAGGAGCCACCCAGTGCATATTCTGCAAAAAGGAGGACCACCGGACAAGGGAATGTCCCCAGCCTTTCCAAGGGAAGCCATGTGGTCCGCAAGACCCCGGCCCATCCTGGCAGATGGCACGACTGGTGGAGGAAAAGATTAAAGGACCGAGAGGCTTCTCGCAAAGTCCCCAAGGGTAACCCCAAGAAGCCTGGACTGACCTTAACAACCCAGCAACAAACTGGGGTTCAGCCAACTCAGGGCGACCTGCTTGGTCTTCCAGCAGCGGGGTAACCAGGGGCTCAGACTCCTGGGCAGGAGGGCCTGTGCAGGTCCCCCAAGAGCCCCGCAGTGGGGATCTCCACGGGCGGACATCACAGATCCCACTTGGGGTTTGCAGATCCAGGACCACTCACACAGAGAGAGAGAGAGAGAGAGAGAGAGATAGAGAGAGAAGGAGAAGGAAAAGAAGAACTACTCTCGTCGTGTAAGCCACTAGAGGATGTCCAAGTCCTGTTCAAAAAATAAAAACAAAAAAACCTATTTAAGCTAAGTTCCCCTCTGTAGTATAAACCAGGGCTTTGGGCCTTTTTGCTCTTGTAGCTGGACACGATACCTTTATTTATTTTTATGTGGCACTGAGGATCCAACCCAGGGCCTCGCACGTGCTAGGCCAGCGCCACCGCTGGGCCCCAGCCCCAGCCCCTCTTGTGGGCGTTTTCCTCTGGCTGTGGGGAAGTCCTTTGGCCACCGATGGCTCCCACAGAACCAGGCGCACACCCTCGGTGGGGCTGACCCTCGTGCCACCCCCACCACCACCCCCCACCCCCGCTGGCTGTTCCCACTCCAAGGACTTCGGTGGTGTTCCCCATTGTTCAGTCCTTGCCTTATTTTGGGGAACTGGGGACGGAACCCAGGGGCCCTTAACCACTGAGCCACATCCCAGGCCTTGTTTATTCATTTTTTATTTTCAGGCAGGGCCTTGCTGGGTTGAGCCTGGATCCTCCTGTCTCCGCCTCCTGAGTCGCTGGGATTCCAGGGGTGCACGGCGCCCCGCAAGCCCTCCCTTCTTAATCCCCTCGTGAAAGTGCGTGTCTTTCACTGCAGCCTTCCACACCGAGAGGCGGGCAATGGGGGCCCCGGGCTGCTTCTCATTGTCTTGAGGTGACCCACAATCTCCCAGAGTGTGTCTCTGCTTCCTCAGTGAATCACTGTCTGCGCCTAAACAGAAACAAGCCAACCAGCGAAGGATGCCAGTCCACCCCACAACTGTCCCCGTCCACCAGGTCCTGTGTGTCTCCTTCACATCAGGCAGGAGGACGCTGTCTCTGTCCAGCTCAGAGCCGTTCTGGAAGCCAGACCTTCACCCTTCCTGGCGGACGCTGAGGAACAAGGGATGGGAATGAGTCAGGATAAAGGAGTAACTAAGCCCCAGGTAGAAAGGAGGCCAAGGTCCGGCAGGAGGCTGGCCTCCCCCAGAGCCTCCACTGGGCCCCTCACACCTTCCTCCCCGGGCAGCTTTCCTCCCGGGTCGGTCACTTCCACGTTTCGGGGAAGCCTCGGGATCTTCACTCACAGCCTGAAAATCGCCGGAAAGCTCACCCCCGGGCACCATTCACCAGCCCCAGTCCACGCCCCCGGGCACGTTCACCAGCCCCAGTCCACGCCCCGGGCACCGTTCACCAGCCCCAGTCCACGCCC